TTCTACTGCGGATATCCTCATTACTTAGTTTATTACGCAGATCTGGAGGTTATCCCATTGAAAATCTAGGAGTAGACTATACTGGTCGTATGTTATCTGCTAGTCGTCAAGGTCGCGGATGTCGTTTGGTAAAGGTGTACATAGCCGTATTTGTGTGTTTCGCTACCAAGGCAATTAATTTGGAATTGGTTGGCGATTTAACAAGCCACAGTTATATCCTGGCTTTACGAAGTACAAGTAGTAAGTACTAGAAAGTATTTCAGTAGTGCAAGAAGAAATTATTTCACGAAGGGGTAAATCAAGTAGTATTTACTTCGAACAACAGTACCTCGTTTATTGGCGCGTGCAATGAAATTTCTACTTTTTAAAACCAATTGCGATTTACTATCCGAAAAAATGGGTAATGATGGGATTAATTTCCATTTTATTCCTGCGTATTCTTCACACTTCGATGAATTCTGGGAGACGGGTGTTAAGTCAATCAAATTTCATTTACAAAGAGTGTTGAGAAATTGTAATGTCACTTATGAGGATTTTAACTTAATAAAACGCTAAAAAAACCGCTTCGCTACTAAATTGTAGCGATATTGAATTCTCGGCCTCTAATGCCATTGTGATTCGACGAAGAAGATTTAATGCCTCTAACACCTGGTAATTTTTTAATGACGCGACCGCTCACGTATTTACCAGAAAGAGATTACAGAAGTTATCAAACTAACTCTTTAACCCGTTTTCAACGAATTAAGCAGCTCCACCAGCATTTCTGGACAAGATGGTAAAAAAGTATTTTTCTGAACTCCAGCAACGAACGAAATGGCGTGTCGATAATGATGACTTGAAGTTGGGTTTTCTCGTTGTCGTGAAAGAAGACAATCTCCCACCATTGACATGGAAGTTGGTCCGAATTGTTGTTATTTATCCTGGACCTGACAACAACAGTCTTGTGGCAGATATCAAAACGTTTGCGGGACTAATTAGACGATCGTTCAGCAAGATTTATCCGCTCGCTATGCCTTCTTATTGAAAGACGTGATTCTAACGCCTGGGGGCATGTTGACACCTCATACATTTTATTAGCAACTATGCGATTCAGATAGTAATAGTTTTTAATTCTAACATTCCATATATGTACTTTATTTAACATTGTAACATTTTTCTGTAACTACCTGGTTATACTCATTGTATCTTTGGCTCTCGCATTGTCCTTATTGTAGTCCTTAACCAAATCAGTCTCATTTATTATTTCAAAATTTGGTTTAATCCCCCACACTACTATTTTACGCTGGTATTGAGTGAGAACGTGCTTCCACCCCAATTGCGACAAGCCATTCAAGCTGCAACCATAATGTAACTGCAGTGTGGCTCTGCCACGTTTTAAATATTTCTTTTGTATATTTGTGACATTGGTTTTTATTATTTTTGTTTATATAATATGAAGTAGTATTACAATGAAATACTATTAATGTGAACCTAATTTTCTTTCAAGAAAGCTGACTATGAGAAATACATTACGGCTTCCGATAGATAGCAGTATGACCATCTCGTATGCGGCAGACGTAAATAGCATAGACTAGCAGCGAGTAGGAGCATCACAGGTGCAAGACAACTTGTACTGCGGTTGCTAATCTGCCTACCAGTTGTGGTGATGAAGCGAAAACTTCCCTTTAAATGGAGTGTTACAACCCTAGCAGTGGACTTTTAAAGACTCATGGTGATGATATGGTAAAATAATGCCATGCATACACACGGCGATGTGACTACCTGTTAACCAACAGGTGGCATTAAGTATATTATACTACATTCCAAAATACCAAGCTTTAATTAATAGAATCAGGCGTTACTTTGCGGAAGTCCATTATATTAAATTTGACAAAAGATTACTTTGCGTACATCTGCTAGATAAAATAAAATGATGTGTCTTACCTAGTTTTAAGAACACCTCCCGCCCTCCCTCAAATGCGTGCACTATCCCCGTCACCACTAATCCCAGCACCACTACTCCCAACACCACTGCACTAGGAAAGACACCACTGACGACAATACGACACGTGTTTCGCCTCTACACGAGGCATCCTCAGGTAATATAGACTCTACGGTGGCTAACAGCTAAGTCTAATCAAAAAAAATCTTCACTCAGATTCTTGCTGAAGAAATGAAAAACATTTTATAAACATCAACTGTGGATACGAACAATACGAAGGTGCTAAAAATCAAATATTAAGGCATCTCCGATAACAAAGCAAAAACAGTTTTTCGCTGGATACCTGTAAAGAAACATTACTGGGTATATCGGTTTAAAAATAGTGATACATAAATTAATAACATATTTATACTGTCTATATATTATTATAATAAATCACGTTCATTAATGAATATCCACTACCCCATCTCGTCCCGCAAGAGGCGACAGAGGGAAACAAACCAGGAGATAATTAGCATATTTTAAATAACATCTAGAAAATAAAACGTGCAATTGCCAACCCGCCTGCCTAGTGTGCCAACTATCACAAAAATCCATAATATGCAGATGGCTCAGGATAACGCTTCGTGGCATTCCTTGGTAAGGCAGTTCAGTAGTGGTACTTGTAATGAGCTGTAACGATAATAATAGTGATGATAAATTGCACAGACTTGTAATGGACACTATTACCTCAGTATCAGTACCAGGAGCATGCGTAATGATTTATGTTCATTCCAATGCCAGTAGACATATTTTTGATAGGGCCAATAGTTAATAATAATCGATAAAATTTAATGAGTATTTTACGATAAAATTTCGATGCACTTATTTAAATTCAATGTCCAATTCGAAATTTATACTAATGCAAACGCAACAAACATGTTTTGGCATTAAATCGAATATAGAAAGTTTAGGAAAAAGAAATATTGAAAGATTTACTCTTTGCGAATGATCTCAAATTATTCCTGAGGATGATTTCCAACGAGGATTGCGACCGCTTATAATGTGATATTGATCGTGTGGTGGAGTGGATTCGGGAGAATAAATTGCTGTTTAATATATCAAAATGCAATGTGATGTTTTTCACACGCTCGAGGATCCCGATACATTTCAACTACCTCATGAAAGGGGATGTCATCAATCGCGTTGTCTGTATACGTGATCTTGGCGTCTTATTTACCGAGGACGTGACGTTTCGTACTCATATTTTACAGGTGTGTAAAAAGGCCTTTAAAAACCTGAAATGCGTTTCGCGCATTATGAAGCCCAGGTTATGAAAACAGGTTATGAAAACAAGTATAAACTTATACTGGAGAAAATACAGAATAAGTTTATCCGGTACCTCTACTTAAAGCAATATGGGGTGTATCCTTTTTATCCTCTTATGTATCCAACCCTCTTTGTAATAGGAATGGTTGGATATTATAAGTTGGAGGTTAGACGGAACTTTGCGCTACTTAAGTACATATACTTGATATTACGTGGTAGATTAAACACTCTGGAAATTCTGGAATCACTGATGTTCCTCCTGCCTAATCCAAGGCTGTGACGGGGGCTGAGAGGAGAGTTGCTGGACCTACCGGTTGCTCGTACAAATATATTGAAGTACGCACCGGTTGTTCGTGCAGCTAGAATGCTTAACATCGTAGCACAACGATTAGACATATTTAATTGTACATTGGCGGAATTCACGAGGGTGACATTAAACTATTTGTCTTTTTTACATTAGTGGCCACATTGTTGCATTAGGCTCCACTCCTGTAATAACAATTGTGAGTTAGTAAATAAATAATTCATCATCATCATCATCATTACAGCCCTTCACAAGTCCACTGCTGAACATAGACCTCCCCCAAGGAATGCCACAAAGTACGGTCCTGAGCCACCTGCATCCATCGACTTCCTGCATATCTTACCAGGTCGTCACTCCATCTAGTGTAGTCCATCACAAATAAAATAAATAAATAAAATAAAATATTTATTTAATATAAACACAATAGACAAGCAATACATGTTTCCGTGTGCTAATTAATATTACAATAAAATTAAAGGAAACGAATCGGATTTATAGAATAAAAACAAATTCTTAGTAGAAAAATATGTTTTTATAGTTACGTATTATTTATTATATCTTTCAGTAAGAACATCCTTCGTCATTGAAAAAAAAATGACCATAACTGAAATTGGAAGACGTCGTCTTTATGAACATTTAAAAAAAAATATTTGAATATGACATTTTCCTTTTGTCATTCGAAGAATACTCTTAATATCTGGATAGGATTTATTTTCCTTCGCACAATTTTTTGACCGATCGTAAATCAAAACAAAGCACGGGATTTTCTTTAGTCGAGGACGTTATACTTAAATGAGAATTATCTACTTAGTTACCTGATACGCCCTTATATTTTATAAATAAATAAATAAAATATTGTTATTTATTTATTTATAAGTATATTTATTTGATCAATCAATAATACATATAGCTCGGAGCTAGTCGGCTAGCATACTGCTTATAGCGGCAGTCAAAGATTCGGACGAGTGGCGTGATCCCGTGGCGCAGGCCGGGTATCGTAGGAGAGGGGATAGTGAAACATCGGGTGATATAGGTAAGTATCGGCGCGCTACATACTCCCCTTTTTGACCAAGAGGGAACATCACGAATGGTCAAACTAATAATTAGCGCCTAGCTGCCATCCTTACGCGGACGACCCCTACAACGCTTAGGAGCAACCGGCTCCGGACATTTTTCACCACCCCTGTCATGGTATTTACGCAGATCCGACACATGATACTTACCAACGACTTCACCAGTCTTCTGCGAAGTTAGAAGGTAGGTAGTTGTACTCACCTGTTTGGAGATCACATACGGACCATCCTGCTTCGGGATGAATTTAGAAGTAACACCCTTAGCAGCATTACTCAGGACATGTGACTTCATGAGTACGAGATCACCTTCTTGTAATGGATCCGAACCACGGCGATCGGAATCGGCTTGGAGCATACGAAGATCCTGTTGATGATCAATGTTCTCCTTAGCTTCCTAGAGAGAGTCGGCAAGCTTCAAAAGGTAAGGTGTAATCTGAGGGACTAAGTTTTCAGACTCGATGACCGCCCGTAGATCAGCCTGAACCGACAAAGGAGAACGGAGCTCACGTCCAAATGTCAAGAAAGCCGGAGTGGTGCCTGTAGAAACGGTGACTGAGCTATTAAGAGCAAATCGGACGAAATGCAATACCTCAGACCATTGCTTATGATTACCCTCAACGAGAATGGCTAGGTGAGCTTTAAGGTCCCGGTTCTTCCGCTCTACCGGATTCGCTTCTGGGTGATACAAAGGCACCAGGTTTTGTTTTACACCTAGTAAAAACAGAGCCTTCTGCATAACATCAGCCATAAACTGGACACCGTTATCGGAGATCATCCGCCTAGGAAGTCCATACCTCATAAAGATTTCACTTACAAGAGTTTTCGCACAGGTTTCGGCGGTGATCTCGGTTAGAGCAAACAGTACGACCCACTTACTAGCAGTGTCCTCCACTATCAAAATCCACCTTTCACCCTGAGGTCCCTTGGGTAACGGTCCAAAGAGATCGACGGCAATAAACTCGAATCGTTGAGCCGGTACCGGAGTATGGAGTAAACCAGGCGGTTTCAAGTTGGAAGACTTATACCGCTGACACTCAGTGCAGGTCTTCAGGTTATCGGTGATATAGCGTCTCATACCAGGGAAATAGAACTGCTGGGATATACGATGCAAAGACCGTTGAATACCTCCATGAGCGGCGGTTGGCAAGTCATGACACTCAAACATAACTCTGCCCCGCAAACTCTCAGGTACTTCCAGCTGAGGCTCCTCAGTATCGGTGGCGTCCACGTACCGGTACAAAACACCTTGGTTTACCAGGTACCCCCTCTCCGACCACCGATGAACTGACAGCTCATCAGAACTTTCCAAGTCGTTAAGGATTTTGGCTACTTCTGGATCAGCCAGCTGGGCTTCACGGGTCGATGTAGCGTACCAACGTGGAACATCCACAGACACAGGGCAGGCGCCACATTCCGTCAAAGTGCTATCGATGACTGGACGGCTGAGTGTGTCGGCTAGCACATTAGCCTTCCCTGGAGTGTATTCCATTTGAAGACCAAATTATTGTAGCTTTAAAGCCCAACGAACAAGCCTACCACTAGGCGATTTGACAGAAAACAGCCACTTCAGGGGTCACTTCTGACCACTACCTAGTGACCATCAATATACCCACGGAATCTTTCCACGGCCCAAACAACTGCTAGCGCCTCCCGCTCCGTAGTGGTATAATTTTTCTCGGCTGATGTGAGGAGACGGCTTACGTACTCGATTGGGTGTTCGTCCTGTGGAGACTCCCCCTGGAGTAAAGCTGCACCTAGGGCAAAATCACTGGCATCCGTCCTAAGGATGAATGGCTTCGAGTAGTCTGGCTGAACAAGAATGGGTGGTGAAGCCAGAAGGGACTTAAGATATACGAAGGCTTTGGACTGATCATCTTTCCATTGCCAGATCTGTGACTTTTTGGTAAGGCGCGTAAGCGGTTCAGCTACCTTCGCAAACTCTGATATGAACTTTCTAAACCAAGAGCAAGTTTGCAGGAAGGAACGAAGTTGCTGGAGATTAGTCGCTTCTTTCATATCTAGGACAGCACGCACCTTATCTTCGTCTGGAGATATACCGTTGTTGGATATCACCTGATCTAGGTATTTGAGCCGGTCCCTGGCGAACACGCACTTTTCGCGGTTGGCTCTTAACTTGAACATCCGAAAACGCTCAAATACCGCACGTAAATCAGACAAATGGAACTCAAAGTCCTCTGAAATTACTAATAGGTCATCAAGATAACCTAGAATACGCCTACCACCAAGTGAAGGTCCTGACCGGAAGCGATCTATGAGTCGCTGGAACGTTGCCAGAGCCCCCTTCAGGCCGAAAGGCATACGCGTAAAGCGGTAGGTCCCAAACGGTGTTACGAAGGCCGTTTTATTCCTATCCGACCTACTGTGTGACCTACCAGTACCCACTACGGTGGTCTAGCGAGCTCATTACACAGCCCTTCTTGGTCGACTGTAACAGCTCGTTGATACGCGGCATGGGGTATGCGTATATCTTTGTAACCACATTTAGCTTGCGATAGTCTACATAAAACCTATAGGTACCTTTAGACTTCGGTACCAGGACGCATGGTGCGGCCCAGGCGGATTCACACTCCTCAATCACACCATCAACCAGCATCTTGTCTAACTCGGCGCGCATGATTTCCTTCTTCGCAGGCGTGACCCGATACAGGGGCACAGCAATCGGTGGGTGGTCACCGGTATCTATATAGTGTTCGGCGAATGGTGTCGGTTCTCCGACAACATCTAAAACGTCAGAATACTCACCTAATTGATTCGCCATCGAACCGACACCACTCCGACTCCGATAGCGCGGTGGCCTCGTCCTCTCGCAACACGTTCAATGCGTCGGCGCACGCAAAAGGGGCTGATCAACTGTACGCCAATTCCATTTATCAAAATCAATAACCATTCTAGCCTTTGTTATAAAGTCAATACCTAACAAAGTATACAGTGGTAGAGCCACGCGGCAGCTTTTGCTGTTGCACGGATGGGCCGGCTCGATCCGGGGTGGTACGACGACCTCACAGAATACCAGCGTGAAGTAGAAGTTTAACATCTGCGTTTCGCTCGGTGAGTGCAGGTGGCCGGAGGCCCTATTTTACTTGAAATGAGGCATTCCATCTTAGTCCTCAAGGCTGACAATTGCATTTTGATTCGCAAGCGAGGAGAGATGTAGATGTCTATGGGCCGCAGCAACCACTTACCATCAAGTGGACTGTGTGCTCGTTTGTCATCTTATCCTATATAAAACAAAAGTATCGTTATTAACGGCATTCGGTAAAATAATAAACTCGATAGGTATATTTAATGAAGCAAGTTGAACATTGATCTCCGTGAGTAGCACCTCACTATTCCTAATAGTACCGTCGGCACCCAACGCAACAACTGATTGCTAAGCCACTGCGCCACGGAACCGTCATTATAACAAACAATACCTGAGTTAGAAGAATGAGATCTTTTGCTTAACTTATCACAGGAGTCACGGACGTGTCCTTTTGCAGTAAACACAGAATAGCTTTCTCTCACCATCACTATGTTTGCTCACACACTGATCACTACGCGGCACAGGCACATGGTCACGTGATGATTGCGAAGCGGAGTCGGGAGAGCGCAGTTGCGGTACCGTCGAACTCGAACCCGAAGTACTATGTTAAAGTCCCTCGCCATGCCTGCGGCTAGGTCTCGCGGGCACACTCAGCGGCGACGCCAGCGGTTGTGGCGGCGCGAGCGGCGGCGCGAGCGGCGGCGCGAGCGGCGGCAGCGCAGCGTTCTCCGTCAGCGACTCTTCTATAGCTCGAGATCTTTCAATGAGATATTCGATGTCATTCACAGTATCTCTCGACAATCGTTTTCTGATTCTCTTATGTAGAAGCCCGTAAATCATTTCTAATCTCGCTTCCTCTGGTAACTCATAGGGTAGTTTCGACAACAAAGCCCTTATCCTTCCGACGAAAATATCGGCACGCTCCGATCCTTGTTCGGCGGCAAAAACGTCTCGGTACAACTTATATGCAGGTCGTGGAACTCCGTACATCGAGCGCAGGCGTTTCACAGCATCCGACCACGAGTGTATTTCGTTTCGGATTCCACGCCACCACACTGTAGCATCTCCTTGTAGTAACATAGGGATACCGCGAAGTGTCATCTCATCACTAACTGATGCACAATCCTTATACATTTCCACCGCGTCAATGAATGCTTCCACTGCTTCCGGGTGTTGAGACGAACCGTCGAACCGTGCAGTGCATTTTACGAATGTTCCTGGGATAGATGACGACCGCGGTGACGTGACAGTGGCCGCGCCGGCAGCGCTTGAATCGTCATTCGGCGGCGCCCCTAAGTGCGATCTCAGAAGAGACTAGACGAGCTTCTGGTTTGCCTCGGCTTGAGCCGCAGAGAAAGCGACCATAAGCAACGACAGCTGGTTCTCGGACATAAGCACAGGTGCTGCAGGTGTCGGGTTTACAGGTGCCACAGGTGTCGGATTCACCGGTTCCTCATCCGAACTTGAGTCATTATTACGCGGATTTCGCGGCGGCATTATGACTGAGTCCTTGTAATTCGCGTCTCAATATCAAGGAAAAACGCGTAGGTACACTAGGCACACACTCGCGTTCGTCCTTGTGCACTAGAAACTTCGAGAGCCACCGTAGGTTCGTTCTGGCCCACCGTTGGGAGCCAATATAACGTTCACTGGTCACGCATGATGAATGAAACGTTACAAATAATCCGAATGCACAGTTTACACTTAAATTGTAACATACATATAGGCAACTATTGACACGTAAGTACATAAACGGCGTCTCGCGAACGCAGAGCGAGCGCGGGATCAATTAATAATACATATAGCTCGGAGCTAGTCGGCTAGCATACTGTAAAGGTACTCTGTGGCATACTGCTTATAGCGGCTGTCAAAGGTTCGGACGAGTGGCGTAATCCCGTGGCGCAGGCGGGGCATCGTACGAGAGGGGATAGTGAGACATCGGGTGATATAGGTAAGTATCGGCGCGCTACACTATGTATTTAATTGCAATATTAAGTGCTAATTTACCACGTGCCCGGCGGTGAAGGAAAATATCGTGAGGAAACCTGCATGTCTAAGAAATAAGAAAAAAAAAATATATATCTGAGATATGTGAAATCGCCAACACGCTCTGGGGCAGAGAGGCGTACATTTCCTTGCCCTAAAACTCTCTCAGAAATGAGAGGAGACTTGTGCCCAGCAGTGGAACGTATTTAGGTTGTGAGTTTAACTATGTATTACATACTAAGTACCTAATGGAATTTGTTTATTCTTGGAAATTTTAGTTTATTAAAATTAATATTTCAAAAATTCATTCATCATCAAATCATTAAATTAGCAACAGCAAATAATCTATCCAATTATATAAAGATGTCAGAAGTGTAATTACAAAAAAATATAATTAACTAATAAAATTTATTTAAACGATATTACATACAATGTTAGTTAATAATATAAATGTCAATAATGAGCTATAGTCCTATAAAAGTTGTCATTAGTAATTTAAAAACTCGTTTACCGAGTAAAATATATTTTAAACAAGCAACTGGTAATTTTTTTTAAGTATTTGTATAGGAATATCTTTAATTGTGTGTGGTATTTTATTATATATAGTACCCATCCAGTAACAACTTTTGCTAAAGCGTTTACTTTTTGGAATTTCACTAATATTACTAACTTTACTACTATTTTTTATTATTATCATTTATTCACTAATTTTACTACTATTCAATCTGGGTATCTCATGTTCATAGATACATTTCTTTATTAAGTCTATAAAAACTATTCCTTCTTTTAAAGGAAGAGAATTCCCACTTTTAGCTCATCTCATAAATTTATAATATTGCAATTACTTAAATAAATTATGGGTTATTTTTAATAAATTATAGTTATGTCATAAGTATTGTGTTAGTTGAGGTTTTACTTATGTCCTTTATTTAAAAAATAGCAGCTTTCTAATATATAATCTCGGAGCGTTGGCCGCTCTCTGGGCAGAACACCTTGCCCGGCGGGAGATCTCCCCATTTACTTTCACCGGCTACAGTGGTGACCCCGACGTGATATGAACACGCAACCAACAACCTTCGGAAACTACAACTTCAAAAACCTTCGACATCATCCTCAAGTACCCAATTCATTTGCTCCAGAGCAGATATTTTCTGCAGTCTTTACATTCTGTAAGCCATCTAGCTTTACAAAGGCTCATCGCAGCATTGGAATAATAATGCTTCCTGTTCCTTCAAGCTACTCTCTGCGCTACAGTGTTCGGCACGGCTCTGAGCCTTACTGCTCGCCTCTGCTTCACGGCACTCTCGCAGATTATACTTGCCTTCATATCGACTCACCGCAGACTTCTGGCACTTGTTCCGGCTCATCGTTCGTACCGGCGTCACTTGCTCTTACGCACACAGCATGCATTCCCTACCGGCATTAAGGACGCACCAGCAATCGGACTGCACTATCGACCT